GTATATATATATATATATATATATATATATATACAATTTAATTTTTTGAAAATAACATTTCATTTTGAAAATTAAGACCAAAAAGATCTCATATACTTAATAGTTTAAATAATCTAGCATAATACCACAAGCAGTGTAGCTACCTCAAGAAATAGCCACATTACTTGATAGCGATGCTCAATTAAACAAACTAAGAAATTTATGACATATGTTTGGTCAGTGAACCTTTTATATGAATCGACAAGTTCTCCTATTTAATATGAAGAATTAAATAAGCTTTATTTTTTTGAGGGTTCCAAGTTCCGTATAAGGGCAAACCCCTATAGTTAATTACATCTTAAATGATTGAAGTCACTTAAGAAAACTCTAGATGATGATCAAAGGTACTTGTCGTCATGAATTCAATGTTTAGGGTATTAAGGTCGGACATAGAGAGTCAAGTGGGAAAGGACCAAATAAAAATAGTTATTTTAGGAATCCAAAGGGATAAAAAGTAGGGGATGTCATGACTTTTGAGAAGAACCTCGGTGACTTCCCAAACTACACTACTTTTAGCTTCAATTTTGAAAAGATGTTATTTGATATTTCATCATATTTATTTTATTATTTAGCGCTTACATTTGCATGATACTGATCATAAAAATAGTCTAGAAAGATAAGAGGGTTTATGTCGTAGCGAACGACAACCTCAGCCTAAAAAGAGTTAGAACTTTTGTTACACAACATGGTTGTGTAGGAGCCTAAAGATGGATTGAGGATTTACGTCGTGCTAGACAATCTACCTCGAATTCCTATGGCTTGTTATTTAATTCTATGGAATGGTTTAGTTGGGAACACAAAATTATAATCTTGATTTGTCAGCTGAAATCCACTAGTTACATCGTCGTCGTGTTGCCCTTGAAGTTTACCCTAAGCTCCATATCGTCACAATTAAGGGTTTGAAGTTTAGGTGTACATACATTGGTTTGGTCAATGTCCAACAATTGTGTACCACCTAACTAGTATCTAATGTTCTCTACACTAGAGGGCTGCACATGTCTCAAAATTAGAAGAAAAGTAAAAGCAGTAAAAGAAACGTAGTAGAGTGCACTAAAATGTAGAAAATTTAAAATAAATTTATGTACCTGGGCCTCTACTACTACTATAAGAAGTGTTAGCATATTAAACATGGAATAGTAGCATGAAAAAATTAAATAAATTTTAAGAAAATCCAATGCAAAGAAATCAAAGCAAATCATAAGAAAGCATGGATGAGTAAAATAAGACATGATGTCGCAAGACCTGGGTTGAGTGTAAGAATTTGTTAGTGGGGGAGGACTCAAAGCTGAGCTAAGTGCTTTATAATCAAACCTCAGATAAAATCCACCAACCTAACAGTCTAAGGAGGGCAACACCTAGCCTCAAACAATGTGATTAACATGTGAACTTTTGTAGGATTACATCAAAATTCTTTAACTTTTCATGCGAGAGTTTACTTAGCAGTTAAAAGTAATAGTGTCATAAGAAAAGATATTTTTTTGGTGAGTTATATATAAATATGTAAATATTTTGGCAAAATAAGATAGCTCAAAAGTTAATCACTTTGAACGGACTAGAACCACCAGCAACCTAAAAAATCTAGGAGAAATTTCTTACTAAAAATTGGTGAATAGTATCATCGGTCCTATCCCCTCCATGAAGATCCTTGAGGTATGAGATACTATTCAAAAATCCCAATTTATATCCCACTCTTAGCACATATAACCATTGTCGTCATC